AATACGGCTATTCTGAAAAAATCACAATTGTAAACTAAAGCTACAAAGCAAAGGATTGTCCTAAAACATTTTGGGGACGTACCTGTTTCTCCAGAGGCTTGCTTTAAATTTTCCATATATTTGTCTGTAATTTTCCCGGGACTTTCGTAGAGACAAATGTATAGAAAATTTTAAAAAGTGGTTCTAGGTCTTGTAGCGCATGTAACGCCCTCAAATTTTTTCAGGAGAATCCTTAGGATTGAAGCTTTAGTTTACAAATCATATTTTTTTCAGAACAGCCCTTCTACGGAAATTATTCGACATTAGATTCTCACACAAACACTGTAATTTCGCACGCGTTTACCTACTCGTCAAGATGTTGTCGAAAACCGTGACAAGGTCTATTTAGGAAAGAAAACCTAGTACATGTGGGTTTCACTCTCTATTTAGCTAAATTGCTGACTAGTAACTGACACATTATTTGTGTTTAACAAAATCAGCGCCGCGAACTTTTTGTACTTACGCAATGACTGAAACGTTGCCGTCGTGTTATCTTTTTACAGGAAAATGCTGATCAAGAGGCCTGCTGTTGGAGGAACTTGTTTTCTTGTATCAATCTTGTGCGGGTACTGCAGAAACTTACGAAATGGAAACATTCGCGAACAATGGTGTGTCTTTGTTACAGGATTATCATGTCGCTTACATTGTGTGGAAAAAATCTTAAAAGATTTCTTTGTTTTTTCAAAAAGTGGCCAAAAACTGACCGGTGCATCCCCGGTAACTATCCCAGAAGCAATTACGGGGCGCATTTCGGCTCCAGTTCAGAGAAGTTCTCGTTTGTAAAGTGATGAATTGGATGAAGCAATCCTCTCGTTTAGCAGCTCAAACTGAGGTGTGTCACATAGTGTTACATTACTAACAAATATTTCCTTGTTTTAGATGCTGGTTGTGTTCAAGTCTGCGCCGATATTGAAGCGCGCTTTAAAGGTCAAACACGAACTTCTTCAACTGTATGTGCTAAAGGTTAGCTAATGATATTTTTCTACTGGAAAACTTTTTTGGGGGAGACAGCTTTGTTTTTAGTGGTCATTAATAGCCTTTTGTTGTACATTATAATGACAGAAGGATTTTGATTTTAAGGTTGTTGGTTTAGATTCTTTTCAGTGCAGTGCCTCCCACCAACGTGGCGCGGATGCCATATGTAGAGTTGAGTTTGTTGTTGGTTGTCTCCCTTCCTTTGAGAGGTTTTTCTCCGGGTACGCGGTTTTCTCCACTCCTTAAAAACCAACATTTGGAAATTCCAGTTCGATCAGGAATCAGGTAGACGAAGAACGACACTGTGGATGTGCTAACTGTAAATCGTTATTTATTTCTATTTATTCATCATCTTATTTCACGCGGCTGGGAGGTGATAATCAACGCAATGTGAATCAACGAGAATCAAAGCCACTGTCTCTGTTTAGAATAACGGATTTTCGTAGTTATATTTCAACAATTGCTGCTTGTTTATCTCGCAGCTGCTGAAGGCCCAGACAAAGTATTTAGGGAGAAATTGGCGGAAGAGCAACATGAAGACCATGTCGGCGATTTATCAAAAAGTGCGCCATCGTCTTAATGACGACTGGGCTTATGGCAACGGTAAGTGGAGGAAACGCTGGATTTGAATACTGCTTCAGTCCAGAATAATTATTTTGATTTGTACTGTGTATTCCTTGGATTTGAATACTGCTTCAGTCCAGAATAATTACTTTGATTTGTATTGCGTATTCCTTGGATCGCCAGACCTTTTTTTTTAATGGATGGTGAACTTAAATTTAAATTGTGTTTGATTGTGAGTGCCAGCAAAAGTTTCATAAAGTTCAGGAAAGAAAACTGACGCAAACCAGGAATCAAATAAAATGTTTTTGAGCCCGGCCAGTAGTGAATAGCAGATGGTCACATACTATACCATTGCTAGAATTTTCAGAATGATTAAAAATTTTCTCGAGACGTCATTGTCGCTGTGTGTAAGTTGGAGCTGGGAAACTAGAGCTTGTCGTTGCATTTTTGTTGTTTTCTTTTGTCTTGGGATAACAGATGACTGTAAGATAAAGAGCGTAATCGCCTTTCCGATCCGAGCCGAGTGTGAGTTCTTTTAAGCATTGGTGTCGGCAAATTTCATTGTGTTCTCCTTGTGCAGGACGTGTTTGACAGCCCGTTTTCTTTGCTTATAATTGACAGATCTCGATGCGCGCCCGTGGGATTTCCAGGCAGAGGAATGCGCTTTGCGCGCATGCGTAGATCGCTTCAACAGCAGAAGATATGGTTTTGACAACGGAGAACGCTTGGGTGATAACAGCGAGGAGGATGAATATCAACCAGTTGATAACGATGTTCTGAGCGTGCTCGGAGGAAAGGTTGAGCTCAGCAGTGAGTTCAAGAACAATTATGAACGATGGCTTGACCGTGAGGTCTTTTCGGTATCAATAGACTGGGACCAACTTTGTACATGCGTGCAATAACCTGGCTCGATAACGGTAAAATAATTCTACCTGAAGGAGGGTGGACACTTTATGACGCCTACACAATGTAGCAGTAGCTCTTAGTGAGCTGTAGTGTTTAGGGTTACAAAAGGTAGTGAATTATGTGCTGTATAGGCTTCAGACTGCGTCTCCGACAGGACTACTCACTAGTTTTCATTTCAGTGGAACTGCCGGTCTTTTATCAGGCCCTTCATCATATTGTTATCTGAGAAATTGTCCTGATCCCATCATTATTTTTTGTATGACTGAATATATGATCCTGAAAATGCAAATTAAAATTAACTTGACCTCACTTTGTGCATATTAAATGCATAACTTCTAAGATAAAGCTACCAATATGTTTCTAATACGAAGCAACAAAGCGGTACCAAATTGACTTGCCTACTTTTCGAAGACACAGAGGCGCGAAAACCCGTTTGAAACGTTCGAAGACAACGGACGCGAAGCACGCTCGTGCGGTATCAAGCAAGTTCTCTGCTCATTTTGCCGGTCTACGATTGGTCAATTCAGTTTTAAGGTCTATGCGCGCCGTCATCCCTGTCGTTGCGTTGTTTTCAGACCCCGCAAACCAATAGATAGATGAATCCTGGATAATGAGATGAATAAGTTTCTTAAATTCCCAACTTCAGAAACCACAGGCGGCCCAGACGTAGTATGTGTCACTGAATGAATATATTAATATCCACATGGACAAATTAATGCGATGAGTCGTCGAAACTCCCATGGACTAAAATAGTCTAAAAGTCAAAATATAACAAAACAAAGCTAAGATACCTTCAACTGAACGTATCCTTGTCTTTCCTGACCGGTTTAAGTGGCATTTTGTTGAGTNTTTGTGGAGCAAGCGAGCCAGAAGCAGGAGCACACGTTACCTGCAGATTAGCCGATGGTTATTTGGAGCGGATTCGTCGATTATTCTCGAATTTATAGCGCTTCGTGTGAAGGCGCGTGGAGATGGTCTGTTTGTTTTGTAGCCAGCCTTTAATTCTTCTTTAGTGGATAGTACCTACAATTTCAAAACTCAACAAAATGCCACTTAAACCGGCCAGGAAAGACAAGGATACGTTCAGTTGAAGGTATCTTAGCTTTGCTTTGTTATATTTTGACTTTTAGACTATTTTAGTCCATGGGAGTTTCGACGACTCATCGCATTAATTTGTCCATGTGGATATTAATATATTCATTCAGTAACACATACTACGTCTGGGCAGCCTGTGCAGAAACGTGGAGAAATAGGTGCAAGCTTTGGCCGCAGTGATGTGTGGGATCGTTTGAGTGGTACTAGTTATGATTGGTCGATGGTAGTCAAGGCAACCATTAACCAATCATAAGTAACGCTTGTCCACTCAAACGATCCCACAAATCGTTGCGCCGAAGCTTGTACCCATGCCCCTTATAATTTGTGGAATGGGGAATTGCTTTGGCTTCAATGGTCACAATGTTCTGCTAGTCCTCAAATAGAGTTCTCCATTAGAACTACGCGCGAGCTAGACAGTGGCCATGAGAGTGCGTTACATAAGGGCGTATAAACTATGCACGTGCGCAATCGTGACAACGAAACACGCGTGAATCATGAAATCGTAGCAATAAGGGTGGATGAGCTAAACGCGTGCGCGTGTGAAACCATTGCTCAAGAGCAGTAGAACCCTATAAATCAGAAACTAAAACTCGAGTCTTTGTGACGTACAAATAGAATTCTCATTTACAACTACGCGCGTGCTAAACAGTGGTAAAGGGTTCGTAAACTAAGCGCGCGCGTTTGTAACAATAAGAGTGTGAAAACGATACACGTGCGCAATCGTTACATGCGTCAACTGAGAAATTATGCGTGAGCTAAACACGTGCTAAATTGTGAAAACAATTGTGTGTAACCTTATATGTACGTGAAAAGTTGTGGCTACACGAGTATGTGCTATGCGCGTGTGAAACCATAGCAACCAAGGAGAAAAAGTTTTCCTGTGTTGTTGGGTCAAGACTGAAAAGTCATGACGAACTTCAAATTGGAGCTAAAGATAAATTGGTATTCACCCTAAATCAGCCCCCTTCTACTTTTTTAGAATAAGTCAATTTTTCGTTTTCTACATTTATATGATTTTTCACGCGTTTCTCGAAAAAAAAAAAAAAGAAAAAAGAAAAGTTGATGGGCTAAACCATTCAACCGCGAATCTCTTGAAAACTGAACAAACAGAAAACTTCTGTTTTTTCTCCCTAGTTTTTCAACTCACCTTTTTGACATCCAGACGCCATCTTTAGTTTTCTTTTAACGGAATAAAACCTATTTTATGACGATGTGCTCTTGAAGAAAGCTCCGAAAATTTCCTCTTAAATTACTGAACCAACTGCAGCGCTCGATAAATCCGAACATGATTCTCGACTGTCATTTGTGACGTAATTATAATTGGATTCTCATTTAGTACTAAGCGAGAGCGCGTGCTAAACCCTAAAAAGCGCAAGGCAAATTTTCACACAACATTTGTTTTTACAGCTGCCAATGAATTACACTTTATTCCTTTACAAACTTATCCAATTTCGAGAACATGTTTTTTTTTTTACAAAAACGTCCATTGACATGATTCCTTAAATTGTTCACATGGGAATATAACCCATAAATGCCTAAGTTTATAAGAGTATAATTATGACCTCAAAACAAAACTTGGTTTTTATTGTCGGTGATCATGGTTACAAATCATATTTTCTCAATACATTTACTTAACTGTTTTCTTTGTATTTGTGTAGTAGCTATTTATTTAGAAGTTTAAATCCTTTTGAACTCTGTTTTTAATTTACACAGGTGGATAACACATGGATTATTGCTCACTGATCTTCAAACATAAAAATTCCCCAGTGTGTTACAAGACTAGATCTTGTAAACTATATTAGAATCGGCAGTTTGTTGGTTTAGTGATCCCTGGCCAATCTCTGGCCATACACCCAACCATCTCAGTTGTCTTTCTTGTCTTCTTTAGTTTGGGTCTCATCTTTTTCCAACTGTGCCTTTGAAAAAAAAAAAAGAAAGAAAGAAAAAAATTAACAAATAGAGCTCACAACTCAATAAAAACTGATGGTCAAGTCATCACAACAAACTTTGACGAGGAGAGAATTTAGCTGTTTTTACTGAATGCCAATTGTGCCCTCAAATTAAATGTGGCCTTTATAGCAGGCCCCCCACAAAACATTTTGTGTACTACTTTCCCCTTTCATCCTATTAGTGTATTATAACAAATGTCCCCTCCCTCCCTACCCACTTTTACTTTAGAGTGTCCATCCAAAAGCCTGTTATACTCTCTTGTTACATGTAGTCCAGCAGCTAGCTCCATCATGGCAAACCGACCCTCTCCTCCCCTCCTGTACGTGTGTTATCATACCCCTTCCCTCCCTTCCTCCCTCCCTCCCTCCTTACCCACCTGTGCTTTATTTAGGGTACTCATCCAAAAGCTGTCAAACTCACTAGCAGTCTTCAGCTTCAAGGCAGACTGAGCAGACCTTCCCCTACCGACAGCATGTTATTGTGTCTCCCCTCTCTACTATACATTGCCTACCTGTGCTTTAGAATGCTCATCCAAAAGCCTGTCATACTCTCTTGTTAGTCCAGCAGCTTGCTCTTTTAATGCTGCCAAATCTTTCTTTGTCTTCTCAAGCTCTGTATTTAAAGGTGGAATAGCAAATATTCTTTTAAAAACCTAAATAGAGATCACACTTCAGTAGATGATCAGAAGTGTTGCTTTCTGACTCATTGTTCTTGGGTTTACTACCTAACATGCAAAAACAGACCATATATCATTTTCACTACCGTTGTCCATCTCTTGGTCACACTCATACACATGTATAGCTATACATAATTGCATTCAAACTTGGAAATTGAGACACTGAAAAGAAAAGTGCTAGAACAGCAAACCACTGAATGCAAGTAACAGGTCGTTGATTTATTATGTACATGTCATGGGGAAGACCTTGTTCAGTAGATAATCTTGATCAATAAACTGATGCTAACAGAAAAAGTTAAGACTGACAAGTTTTTATGGTATCAACGGTCTCATCTTTGGTTAAAATAAATGTACAGTTCTTACAGTGACAGATTACATCTATTTTCATATTATGAAAAAGTTTACATGTACCGTGTGGCACAAAATTGTTGCTGCAGTTCATTTTTGCGGATTTGCGATTTTTTGTGTTTTACGGGAACTAATTTTTGCCATTAGGATAGATTGGTTTATCTTGACGGAAATTATTTTTGCAATTTTTAGAAAGTTACCCAGTACCCAGCATTGAAGCATTAATAATATTTTCGTTTTTGTTCAATACGTGCCATAGAAATACATATTTTCAAACAATACCCTATATAAAACCAGTAATTCACAGTATACTGTTTTGTTACTGAATGAAAGAGGCAACTTGTAATTGACAGACATGATTTCTTAGTCCTGTATTTTTGTGTAGTGAATTCAAGTTAGAGAATATTTGTTCTGGAGTCAATTTTTTGTGGGAAAAATGTTTGTGGCAATTTTTATTTGCCGTAACTTACAGCGGATCGCTGGGAAAATTGCAAGAATTAGAACCTGCAAAAATTTCGAGCAACACAGTATGTGTTCCACATTTGAATTTGACCCAGAAGCTAAAACCATCATACTTAGCTGCACCTTCAGTCCTCTCTGTCAGCTTTTTGGATTTTTCTGCAAGAGAATCTCTCATGTCCTTCAACTCTTGGTTGAGTTTGTCCACTTCATCTTCGCCTATACCACCTTCTCCAGATTCCCCTCTGGCGCCTTCCAAGGACTGCTCAGACATAAAAGAGGCACTTTATTTGAGCGTCAACAACAGAAACAAACATTATTTTAAAATGAACATCGTTAATAAGAACCCCAACTACTGGCCTCAAACAAACCAGTTGGCTATTTACAAGTGTGGCTAAGGATGATTGCCTTTGATGATCATTTTATTACTGGTAATTCATTAAGTGTTTTCTCTTGATCATGTGTTGTTACCATGAGGAGAAAATTGATTTCGGCTACTCTGTTACTTTAACTGAAGCAGGATTAGCTCAGTAAGTATAGCACAAGTGGGAGGTCGCAGCTTAAATTCCCAGGCTGGAACAAAACTAAGGGTCTTAAAATAACTGAGAAATGAATGTTGTTGCTTTGCTCTAGTACTGCAAGCAGCTAGACTGTCAGGTGGCGCATATGACCTTGTAAAATAGCAGTACCATCAGGTAAAATGACCATTAAATACAATATTTGTGGGCCAAGGTGAACACTGCTGGGTCACCAATACTTGTGCTATCCTTATAATGTCATTTTTTCCCCCTGAGATTTTACTTTACAAATTACCTTTTTTAGTTCTTCATTCTCATCCATAAGCCGCTTGCACTGGTCAGAAGCACTCTGAGCCTGCCTCAGACTGGCCTCATTAGAAGCTTCAAGAACTGAGCAATGAGAAAGAAGCCTCACGACACGGCGCAACACTCTGCAAAGAAAAAACCATCAAAGTTTAAACAAAATTCAGTAATAGTGAGCAGCATCAAATTTCTCCTTGTAATATCAATGCTTTGTAAAACAGAGTGGTCATGAGAATTACTGATATGATCACAAAAGATGAATTTGCATGATATTTTATCAACTTCTCCTCATTACTTCTGTAGGAAATGAATAGGAGCAACAAGTGAGAATTCAAATTTTGATCTTATGGTTTAAAGGGGTAATGAAAACCCTGTTCAGTATTGTAGTTGACAGTTTGGAGAGAGTGACTTTGCATTATGTGCATAATAATTAAACGACACCCCTGGTTCTTTTTTAAGATGGCTGACAGATATCGAAACTGTTGACTACAATACTGAACTTTTTTGGCTATGTTTGAAGAAAAACAAATTAAAATTTTATTTTACCCTCATGTCTGTGCAGTGCATTGCAAATGGTTTGTCCTTTATATGGGTAAAGCAGGTTTCACCACATTACAAAGTAACTTTTGACACTCCATTTATTTTCAAGTTATTGTACATTTACATGTATGAAGTCGCAGGAAGGGAGATTCATTTAGACCACTAGCAAACTTACATGAGAAGGAAAAGAGAAAATCCAGAAATGTAGAGATTGCGCTGAGCACGGAAGAGTTTCATATGAGCCAACATTTCAGCTTGGGGATTATTTTGTAGGTCAGTGGGTGTTGTTTCAATTTTGCTATATTTCCTTGTCTCTCGAATAGAATCTGCAAAGGTAGACATTAAATAATTCAAAATAAAAACTAATTATCAATATTAAATTTAAATTCATTTAAATAATAATCTGGTTCAAACCCTGGGCCAGACTAACTCTTACAACTGTAGGGTTTTTAAGAAACTGAGGAGAAGGTGCTGGCTTTGTAAAGACTTAACTTAAGGTGGCTGAACACAGTTTCACTGGCAGTCAGCGGTAACTTGCATGACAGTGCGTGTTTTAAATTAGACAAACAAACATGGCGGCATAAAAAACACTGGTACACAGACGGACATGAACAAGTGGACTTTGTAATCTACTTTATTTAGTTTCCTCTTTTTTTAAAAAAACACTTGTAAAATAATGACATAGCTTTAAATAGGCTGATCATGTGTAGTAATTGTATAATTGCATGTGTGCTTCAGAGTGTAGTCTGTGTGTGCATGTATGCTATGTGATAATTACTGTAATTGTTGTAACTGTTGTACTTTGAAATAAATGAAATGAAATAAAAAAAACAAAAAATAGTACACAGAAGACGATTTCTCAAAATCTACTCATTAAAATTTTGTGACATTTAACAGAATTTTTACTTTTAATTATTTTATATAATGAGTAATTTAAAATGGAAGTTAAACAGACCAATTTTGTGACACATTTAACAATTACAGTACAATTATTGTATTACTGATTATCTAAAAACCCCTCTGTTAAAATTTGGCCAAATAAGTTTCAAATTGTAATGATTAATAGTAAGCTGTGAGCAAGTTTAGGAAAATCTAATGATTGAATTTTATGTAAAGTGAGCAAAAGTGAAATTTTAAGGTTGTATTCAGTCATTCATGTTGCCATGGAAACTACAAAAACATCACATTTTACCTGTCAATCAAAATCTTTCATCAGTATATTTTTCAATTGCCAAGTTTCAGCTTGTGAGCTGCAACCTTTCTCTTGTCATGATTTGGCCAATGACATACACTCACAAACTGCCAAAACTGTGTTCAACCACCTTAAATAATAATTATTTAAGTTAAGTCTTAACAAGTAAGTAATTAATAGTAATTAGTAATTACTTGTTTAGATATTTGCCCAGCTCGCAAGTATTATTTTAGTAAATAAATATTCCCAAGCATTTCTAGAATGTTTTTTGTAATGGCCATATAAAATTTCAAAGAGTAAAATACCAAAAAAATGTTTGCATAATTGTGAATTGTTTTGATCCTCCACTGGGATGGCACTTTAAACTTATTAAGGCCAGAATAATGGGAAACAATTCAATTCCATTCCAAAGCATGAAAATACCGTAATATGCATTTGAAAATTTAGTACATTTACTCTCACCTGTTATGTTGCATCACCTCAAAGAACAATGTTATCACCTTAAACATTCTTAACAAAGTACATCCTTGCCAAATATAGAACACGATGACTCGCCCTTAATTTCCAAAGTAGAAAGTGAAAGAGACTTTCCTTACNAAATGAAATAAAAAAAACAAAAAATAGTACACAGAAGACGATTTCTCAAAATCTACTCATTAAAATTTTGTGACATTTAACAGAATTTTTACTTTTAATTATTTTATATAATGAGTAATTTAAAATGGAAGTTAAACAGACCAATTTTGTGACACATTTAACAATTACAGTACAATTATTGTATTACTGATTATCTAAAAACCCCTCTGTTAAAATTTGGCCAAATAAGTTTCAAATTGTAATGATTAATAGTAAGCTGTGAGCAAGTTTAGGAAAATCTAATGATTGAATTTTATGTAAAGTGAGCAAAAGTGAAATTTTAAGGTTGTATTCAGTCATTCATGTTGCCATGGAAACTACAAAAACATCACATTTTACCTGTCAATCAAAATCTTTCATCAGTATATTTTTCAATTGCCAAGTTTCAGCTTGTGAGCTGCAACCTTTCTCTTGTCATGATTTGGCAAATGACATACGCTCACAAACTGCCAAAACTGTGTTCAACCACCTTAAATAATAATTATTTAAGTTAAGTCTTAACAAGTAAGTAATTAATAGTAATTAGTAATTACTTGTTTAGATATTTGCCCAGCTCGCAAGTATTATTTTAGTAAATAAATATTCCCAAGCATTTCTAGAATGTTTTTTGTAATGGCCATATAAAATTTCAAAGAGTAAAATACCAAAAAAATGTTTGCATAATTGTGAATTGTTTTGATCCTCCACTGGGATGGCACTTTAAACTTATTAAGGCCAGAATAATGGGAAACAATTCAATTCCATTCCAAAGCATGAAAATACCGTAATATGCATTTGAAAATTTAGTACATTTACTCTCACCTGTTATGTTGCATCACCTCAAAGAACAATGTTATCACCTTAAACATTCTTAACAAAGTACATCCTTGCCAAATATAGAACACGATGACTCGCCCTTAATTTCCAAAGTAGAAAGTGAAAGACACTTTCCTTACTTTCCCGGAAACAAAGTTCTACAAAAAATTCATAACACCACCCTGTATTCGCGATTATTTTCCCTTTTTATTAAGTTTTCACTAGCTTAGATCGATGCGTACTCAATATGGATATCTTGCATTCATCAAGAGGTTATAAACAGTTTACTTGAAAAGCAGAAAAACAAAAACATGCTAGCTCATTAAGCTTACCATGGAGATCAGCGACCTATTGTAGAATCAAAAAACTTGAGAAAGACTTGAAAAATTACATTACGAACAAGGGATTCTCGACAATCAGAATCAATTTATAAAAGTATTAATAAATCTCTATTTGACAATCTCCAACTAGGATTGGCTAGACCAAAGCTCATTCCAAACTCGCATTTTACTATTGAATGTATAAACAAAATTTACCAGCAAGTAACAGGGCCATTACTATCACAACCACGTTGAAATAGAAATTTCCATATTCAAATAACGTTGATACAATCCTGGAGTTGAAAATCTGGTTCCATCTAAAAGGTATAAGATAAAAACAAAGCCATTTCAGTGCAAAAAGAATACAGCTGATGCAGCTGTGATGCCGTGTGAGAAAATCGTGAAAGCAAAATCTTACCGTTTAGGAGAAATAAAAGGCAAACAGAATAAAAGGAGAACGCCTATCTCAGCGTAAAGAAAACCAGCTGCGAATGTCCACTGAAGTGTCATATTTGTGCAGAAAATACAACTATAAACGCTCCTCTAGCAAAGGTTGAGTCACCTTTTAACTGCATTGTAACCACGCTTTTAACTTGGTATCCAGGCACTAAGCGGGTACGGACAAGCCTCGTACGTGCCGAATGAAAGCCGAATAGAACCGAGCGAGCATTGGGCATGCCGATTGTTCAATTTCCGGTCGGCTGCTTGCCTGCTGTCTGCCTCAGCCTGCATCGTTAGCTTTTATCGTGGTAGTTTGGAGTTTTGCCTGTGTAGTTTCAAAAGGGCTTCCAAACATGAGTGTTTTAAACTCCGTTGTGATTTTGTCATTGTTTAGCGTTTCTCTCTTTGTGAATTCAAATGCATCAGTTTGGCCTTTACCGACCTCCATCTATCTCTCCGGACCGCCTCTTCCGATTTCGCCAGTTTTTACCTTCAAAACCTCATCAACATCGGGCGTCCTCAAACGTGGAATCACTCGCTACTTGGAAATAATTCTGCAGCAAATTGTTGGGGAAAACGTGGATCACCATCTCAGAGCTAACCAAACCTTGAGTGAACTTGTTCTGAGTGTTCGCAGTGACAACGAAAGTTTGCAAGTTGATACTTCCTACTGGTACATTTTAAAAGTAAGAAATGGAAAGGCTAGTATTGAAGCGAAAACCCCTTATGGTGCACTGTAAGTGACCCAAAATATACTTAACTAATATAGTCATACCAGCTCCCCTCGCCTCACCTTTTCCCACCCCACCCAAAAACATTTTTGACATGCCGTTCTCCTCAGGTATCAATTCCAACCGAGAGGGGCTGGGTACGAATCCCTTTATTATGGGATAAACAACAATTTTGGGATAAACAACATGAGACCCACATAGTCAGAAAGAGCACATTGAGGTTAGCAACATTCTCAAGCTTAATGTTTCTTGGGCCTATATATATCGAACGAGATCAAAAAAAATACAGCCATTCAAAAACTCCAAAATTTACTAAGAAAATATATAGATGTCCAGAGTGTGTGTCCTGCAATCTATACATCTCTTATTAATTTTCAAGTTTTTAAATAGCTCTATATTGTTCAATATTGGCCCGATCAACAGCAGACTTGAGATTTTAAACCTACATGTGTAATCTCAGTGGGCTCTTCCTGACTACTTGGCAGTAGGTCTCCTGTTGTTTATCCCATAACAAACTAACCCATACCCATCCCTCCTTGGTTTGAAATTTGACAAGACACTAGGCAATAGACTCTGATATGATAACTCCCTTGTAAAGAAAAAACTGAGATTTGAAGGAAGATATATAGTAATTCCAAGTTCATTTTAATACGGCCTGTCAGTAGATATACTGTAGCCAGGATCCATGGTGAGTTGAACCTGCACTGGCCTGATCAAGCATTTCATTTTTGTGAGAAGAGAGGGAAAAAGAGAATGCCTAAAGGGGTGGCGAATGGTAAAATCTGAGACTCGCTGAGACGCAGAGCTCCTAGTTAGAAATCCGAGCCCAAGACTCTTTGGTAAAAAGTTTCGAGACTCAAAAAAATTAAAAACAAACCATGCAAAAACAGGACTTCAAGACTTATCAAAAACGCTTCTGAGATTTCGGGATCCTGCCAAAATTTTCCGAGACCCACGTTTTTCGTGGTACCATCCGCCACCCCTAGTTGAGGTCTGGAGTAGAATAGGGTCTCGAAGATGGATCCTAGCCAATCTAAGTGCACTTCATTTTAGCAGATATTAAAAGTATGAATTTGACTCCTCTTGCAGGTATGGAATGGAAACTTTTTCTCAATTGATTGTAGATGGAAATTTGATAAACAGTACAGTCAACATTGATGACCAACCGCAATATGTGCACAGAGGCCTTATGTTAGACACTGGGTAAGCATCATGCATTCATCTCTCAATAATTTATAATTCAGTGGTGGTTAAAAGGTTTTTGTTGCTATTGATTGTATATTTTTTTTTTGCAGGCGTAGGTATTTTCCCTTTGAGCTTGTGAAGAACATTTTGGACGGCATGAGCTTTGTGAAGTTAAATGTGCTTCACTTGCATATATTGGACTGGTGTAGATTCAGTGTACAGAGCAAACTGTGAGTATTCAAAGTACAGTCAAAGCTTTCATAAGCAACCAACCAAAATGGCAAGAAATCCCTGATTTCTAATAAAAAATTACCCTATTCCAGACTAAACTGTTTGAAAACCATTCCCTTCACAGCAGCACTTGTCAAATAGTTTATATAGTGTGTATTCCAGTACCCCCTGGTACCACTGGTTGAGTAGGCATTTATGGGGAGGGATGAAATACAAGCTCCCTAAATAAGCCTGCATGAAAGGCTACCTGAAACTGTGCCTTGCGTTAGTAATTCATTCTTTGGATTGTAGGAATGTTATGTTTTACATTTGAAATACATTTTATGTGTTTCGTCTTTTCACTTAATCTTTTCAGTTACCCAGAACTACAAGAACACACGACTCAGTTTTATACCCAGGAGCAAATCAAAGATTTAGTATCTTATGCTGGTGACAGAGGAATAAGAGTTATTCCAGAGGTTGAATCAGCGTAAGTTTGCAATTAAAAATCAAGAAGGGTAGCATAGACCTTAAAAAACTTTGTTTATGCATGGCTAGTCTCGTTCTCTCTACGAGGACAAACAAATGTCCTGCTCAGGCAAAATGGCCGCCACTTGACAAAAGTCTATTGAGGCATTTTATGGTTGTGGAGGGGTGGGTGTGGGGGGTGGGGGAGGGGGGAGGGGCGAGAGGCTGCGCGAAACACTAGATTCCCTTGCACATTGCACATAGAACATTCAACTACCTAATCAGTTGATAATATTGCCCTACTTCAACAAAGAAACATTTATTTCAGTAATGGAGGGTAGAAAGGCTCTTAGGCATCAAGTTTTTATGTACATGGACTACAAGTGTCAGCATTTCTGTGGTCCATGTGTAATATTATTGCTATGTTTTACAAGTCTTGTAAGGTTGTTCGTATTTTCCGCCCTCTGGAAGCAAACAAAACACACTTACTTGTTTGTCAGTTGGTTTATTTCATTGTTATGTTATACTTGTTATTATGCAGTTCCCATGTTGCTGGAATGATTGGTCTGATCAACAAAACAAAAGGACTGAGATTCTGCAATGATTCAGGATTTCTTGAACTCTATAATGACCCACAGGTAAGATTAACCCTTTAAGCCCCAATATCCACAAACAAATTCCCCAAACTGATCTCTATACATTTCCTTTAAGAATTAGTTAAGAGAACTTGATAAAAGATCAAAGTATTTTCTCTTAGGTGATCATTTTATTAATTCTCATAACCTCATCTCATGACAATGTATGGGTATCGTTAGGAGAAAATTGCTGTTGGTCACTATTGGGACTTAAAGGATTAACTGCAATCAACTCTCAGAGTTTCCATTCAAAATATCCATGACTACTGATGACTATTGCTGATTATCTGTTTGGCTACATAAGAAAATTTTTTAACCAAGGAAGGTAAACCTCGAGATTTCTACTGACAGGCAGTTGACAAGGCTGATTAAAGCGCTGAGTGAACTACCAAAGCAAGTAGAAAAAGTGGAGACTGTTGGAGCCTTCTTATTGCTTTAATTTTTTAAAGTCTTCTCATGCCTGTCTAATATTCTACTACAAAGCTGATGTGCTATTTAATAGCAAAGTTTTCAAGAAAGTAAATAAATCCATTGTTTTTTGTTCATATGGAGGCCCTGCCGGGGGAGGGGGGGGGGGTCAATTATGTCGCCCATCTGAATTTTAAAACATCTCATGTCGGTGTTTATAAATGCTTGTCGCTTATTGTCGGCTTTTCCGTCACTGTCACAATTTGGCCGAGGGAGGTTGTCTCTTGTCGCGATTTCATTTTATGCACTGTCGCGACTTTTTGGGTCACGTCGCTTGTAGGAATTTACCCTGGCAGGGCCTCACTAAGTGTTATTGGGTGATCTGGTTTCCCCTCAGGACTTGGCAAAAGTCCTCAAGTTGAAGTGTCCTCTATTAAATTATTACAAAACACCAATTAATCAATAATTAATAATTAATTATTAATTATGTAGCAGATATAACACTAAAACCTCTTTTCATAAGGCTTGATTAGTTTAAAAAATATAATTTATCATTATGAGAAGGTTTTTCCGTAGTTTGAGTCCTTTAGTTAATACATGTTAGCAGTGTTTGTTTACTCAGACATGTATATGATATCCAATTAGTATTATTATTATTACTATAATAATAATAACAATAATAATAATAATTATTATTATTATTATTATCATTATTATTATTACCTTTACTTTTATTAATGAGTCTTACGGTGTACTTGCTTCGACAAGGGAGTAACTCTTACCACAATGAAAAATATCCTTGAAGAAATGATGACATTGTTTCCAGACCAGTTCTTTCACCTGGGTTTAGATGAAGTTACAACATCCACTTTGTGCAGTATACAAAGTAGGTCAATTTAATTACAAAAAGTTGATTGTGGCATAATGAAAACTTTGAAACATAATCACTCTTTAACGTTACATGTATATGTTTGTACTTAGTTTTTTATCTAGGTAATTTTTCTTTTTCTTTTCTTTTTGGATATGGTAATGTATGCTAATGAAGTTGAAATAAAAGAAAAATAAAATTACCTATGATAAAAAAAATACCTATAACAAGTGATTTTAGGTTGACATTTGTTACAAATGAATATATATTTAAATTAGAACTTCTCATTTTGAAGTGATTGAAGATAGTGTGGTTTTTCATTAATAGCTAAGGACAGTTTTGGGAGGATCGAGGTATTTATTTGAAAGTTGGTCAAATGCGACAAAAGGCTTTTTTTAACTATGGCATTTTTATTTTTTGTATTAAACTACAGAATTAGTATCTCTTGGTTTCAATAATTGAAATCAGTCTTATGGTGTATCTTAAAGAGTGACTGACTACAGCCCTCATTTGGGGACACCACTTATTAATTACCTCTTTGTACAAAATGTGGCAGTTAATTGAGTGAATACTGGATGCAAGCTTTCATTATGACTTAATATGATTTCATCATTATGACTTTAAGTTTGACATAGTGTGTTGTCAAGCATTACTTCAGGTAAAAGCAAATCTCTGTAAATGCAATAACTTGGGTGGTTATTTTCTACACAGATACCAAAAGCCTAGAGCAAGAACTAATGAAGTTTCTAGTACAGAAGGGAAAAATTCCATATGCCTGGCAAGAGGCTTTGATATCAACTTCCGCTGTAAGCATTATGTATTATATATCATGCACCTTATTCGCCTGGGTGAAGAGCTGTTTTGTGAAAATATCCTGCAGATTACTGGGTGTTATTAAATCTTATTTATTAATTTAATTATGACTTAATCTCATTTATTGATTATGATTTCATAATAGGCAATAAAAGGAACAGTGCTCCAGGCATGGAAAGGCTCAGTAGTAAAAACCCTTATAGATGGCGGATTTCAAGTGTAAGTAAGAAAGAAAGCTGACTGTATCAATTTTGACAAATTAACAATAGTTTTGATCAAGTAAGACTTGTAAAGTTGAACTTCTGAAGTGATAAGTTGTTTTCCCCTAACAAAACATTAATTAGAAAGCAAACAAAACATACCCTTATAGACAGCGGATTTCAAACTTGTAAACAAGAAAGAAAGCTGACTGTATCAATTTTGACAAATTAACAATAGTTTTAGTAAAGTTGAACTTCTGAAGTAATAAGTTGTTTTCCCCTAACAAAACGTTAGAAAGCAAACAAAACATATTTGGCATTTTACCGATCCTTAAATTAATTTGATCCGTTTGCATAGGAGAGGTTCGTCTATATTATTATTCATCTCCATCTTGTTTTTCAATTTGACAGGATCAACTCTCTGAGCAGCAACTTTTACCTAAGTAGCCTTGTGGATTTTAGTGCACTATGGACTAATATTTCAGCCGGGGTAACTATCATTTATAATAAGTCTGTCTTTATTTTAGTTTGATCTCGTCCCAGGGGCTTGTCGGTTTTGAAAATTAGAAGACCCTTGGGACAAGTTTGCAAATTTTCAGACAAAATGTCAAATGGCCTCCATGAACAGCATNCAGAATTAGTATCTTTTGGTTTCAATAATTGAAATCAGTCGTATGGTGTATCTTAAAGAGTGACTGACTACAGCCCTCATTTGGGGACACCACTTATTAATTACCTCTTTGTACAAAATGCGGCAGTTAATTGAGTGAATACTGGATGCAAGCTTTCATTATGACTTAATATGATTTCATCATTATGACTTTAAGTTTGACCTAGTATGTTGTCAAGCATTACTTCAGGTAAAAGCAAATCTCTGTAAATGCAATAACTTGGGTGGTTATTTTCTACACAGATACCAAAAGCCTAGAGCAAGAACTAATGAAGTTTCTAGTACAGAAGGGAAAAATTCCATATGCCTGGCAAGAGGCTTTGATATCAACTTCCGCTGTAAGCATTATGTATTATATATCATGCACCTTATTCGCCTGGGTGAAGAGCTGTTTTGTGAAAATATCCTGCAGATTACTGGGTGTTATTAAATCTTATTTATTAATTTAATTATGACTTAATCTCATTTATTGATTATGATTTCATAATAGGCAATAAAAGGAACAGTGCTCCAGGCATGGAAAGGCTCAGTAGTAAAAACCCTTATAGATGGCGGATTTCAAGTGTAAGTAAGAAAGAAAGCTGACTGTATCAATTTTGACAAATTAACAATAGTTTTGATCAAGTAAGACTTGTAAAGTTGAACTTCTGAAGTGATAAGTTGTTTTCCCCTAACAAAACATTAATTAGAAAGCAAACAAAACATACCCTTATAGACAGCGGATTTCAAACTTGTAAACAAGAAAGAAAGCTGACTGTATCAATTTTGACAAATTAACAATAGTTTTAGTAAAGTTGAACTTCTGAAGTAATAAGTTGTTTTCCCCTAACAAAACGTTAGAAAGCAAACAAAACATATTTGGCATTTTACCGATCCTTAAATTAATTTGATCCGTTTGCATAGGAGAGGTTCGTCTATATTATTATTCATCTCCATCTTGTTTTTCAATTTGACAGGATCAACTCTCTGAGCGGCAACTTTTACCTAAGTAGCCTTGTGGATTTTAGTGCACTATGGACTAATATTTCAGCCGGGGTAACTATCATTTATAATAAGTCTGTCTTTATTTTAGTTTGATCTCGTCCCAGGGGCTTGTCGGTTTTGAAAATTAGAAGACCCTTGGGACAAGTTTGCAAATTTTCAGACAAAATGTCAAATGGCCTCCATGAACAGCATAATTTTAAAGTCTCCACCAGATTTCTGGATTTTACCATCTAATGAAAACTAAAACAAGAGATTTGAAGAGTTAATCCCATGTATTATTACACAGTAGTAGTAACAGATGAAAGGAAAAATAGTCGGTGAATAGTAAATTACAAAACCAGACCATTAATTGTTGGAATTCAATTAGTACAAAGACACATTTTAGCTTAAAGGATAGCAAATATCATGAAACAATCCCTAAATATATCTTTTGTTGTGTCTGTTTGCATTATTTTGAAGTTAAATCCAGACGAGGTGACACTTGTTCTGGGTGGTGAGATGGCCATGTGGACTGATGATTACTGCTTTGTAGATCAGTGCTTTCTGTACAAGCGAGGAAAACCTGACGCATGGTGGATGTTTGGACCCGAGAGCGATTCACAATTTACTGAGTCAGTGAGTGGAATTGTAAGTATCTCTGGTTATAAATACAGTAAACTTCCTCTTATGACCCTCCCTCGCTGAAATTCCCCCACCTCCCCCCAGTTACAGGCCCATTTACCTGTACACAAAAAAAATACAACCCTTTATAAGCCCTCTGGATATAAGCCCCCACCTCCCCCCACTTATAAGTTCCCCAGTTACAGGCCCATTTACCTGTAAACAAAACAATACACCCAGTTATTAGCCCCCACGGAGATAAGCCCCCACCCTCCCCCACTCATAAGTTCCAGGCAGTAAAACGCTAGAAAGGTCCTTTGGAACAAACTATCTCATTTAATTTTGTCAGCCAATTGTAATAAAATGAACAGAAAACGGTGCGCATTGCTGTTTGCAATGTGTACGGAATTAAGTGTCCACCAGATTTCTGGATTTTACCATCTAATGAAAACTAAAACAAGAGATTTGAAGAGTTAATTCCACGTATTATTATTCCGGAATGCAGTTAATCGAGCTTGCTATTAAGAGAGCCAGCGCGGCAAACCTGGCCAGCCCGTCCCTTGGAATCAGGCCCTGATACAGATGTTCTTTAATAGGTTTTTCAGGATGCGGGATTTCTCTTATTTGAAGGCCGGGATTTTGAAGCGAAAAGAGAGCGAGATTCGGGATTGAAAATATGTTCGGGACGCGGGATAACCATTGGGATTACGGGATTGCAGGAAAATATAAGTCGGGATGGCCTCATTGAAGTATTATTCGGGGACACTCCGATATATACTAATGAGACAATAAAATTTCAGATTTCCGGGTCACGGTAACAACCTCGACCAAGTAAAACCTTAATAGTCAGTTTTGATTGAGGACTGTCGTTTCTCAAGCGCTACTACTATCTATGAGTCGTGTTCCACTCGGCAGTAAAATCTAAATAGCTCGTTATCATTTGTCCTGACCTGTTTGGTCAAACGCATTGTCTACCACTGGTAAGGTTACAGCCAAGTTAAAAGAAATTGAGCAAACTTTCTGCACACCCTTCAACCGCCAGAGGGCGCCTGTGTATAACCACGTCCCTTTTACCACTCGTGACGTCATACGTTGGAGGGTCATTGTCCAACCTCGTTTCCAGTGTTCTCACTCTTGCTCCGAGAGACAATCTTTCTTTCTTGAAGCAAGAGAGAGTACTCAGGGGAACAAGGATGGTCATTGTCAACTTTGATACTTCACTTGTACAGGGGAACAAGATCTTTGCAAAACCATACCCAAATAAGCACCGTTCAGTGAAACATAAACGAGAAAATGGGCAACAAATAATGTAACTTTAACTAGAAAATATTCCAATGAAACTCTTGTTTCACAAGCCCACTGAAATGCCTTGAAATGCACTTCTTGAACTTCGGGGATTTTGCGAAAACCTCTTCCTGCTAAAAATAAAGCACTGTTAATGCCCATGAGGGACAGAAAAAAAAAACTTGGGAAAAGCAAATAAATTAAGGAGGAAAAATTGACTGCGCATGCCCTAACTTCGAAAGTGTAATTTGGGTTTTTGGCACGAGGATCAAGTAAATTACAAAGCAAACAAAGCGTACTGATTGAATGATAAAACAATTAGCGAGTGTGGTTTGCAAAAAATAAAATAATGGTTTCTTATTGTCTCACAGATCAATTATTTGCTACGTCCGCGCTCGGCATAAACCAATAATTGATTTGTTCGCAAATGATCGTAACTGACGAAACACATAACTTTTAATTTCTCTCCCTCCTTCAATAATTGTTAATTGTTTGTTCTTGTAGAGAATGGTGCAGCGTGGCATCCTTACTTGTCCTTCCAGGTGTAAATGTGACGTCCTCACTAGATGTGGTGAAAAGTATCCACAACCCTATTGACTAATTCTTAGAATAAGTTAGCTTAGGAAGAGTGATTTTATGTGACATATCTTATTTATCTTATCGAGAACTCCACACACTGAAAGGCTTAGAGCTTAAAATTTGGCTTAAGTTCACAAGTTTTGCGACAAAATACCTGTTAGAATAGTTCTTGATGTGTTCTTTCGTGTGTTCAGGTTTTCTAAAGCGTCTTTAAATGCCCTGCCCTCACATCTTCATTCATAACATTTTGAATTTTCTACGCCATCTTTGCACCACTGAGAAGTACAGAACGTTGCCATGGCAAATTATGTAATTTCACAAGTGAAATTTTAAATTAATGCTGAAATCTCCCGCTAAAAGTAAGGAGTAATCTGTCACCCATGATATTATAGAGTTTACGCACAGGACGGCAGAAATAAGAGGACGTCAAAACTCTTTTGAGTGACAAACGTGACAGGGCTATTACTTGCGAGTTTTGTCGTGGTCTTCACTTATCATTAATATTTTCTGGTCTTTTACAAAAAGATCTCTTTAAAGAAAGATGAAGTTTGGCGGAAAGTTATTTCGACAAAATTATTGTCACGCTTTTCACAGAAGGTTTGCCGTCTTCTTTTCTCTTCCGTCCTGTTGCGTAAGCTCCCTATTATCAGTGTGACGATGCGTGTTAGTTCCCGCTGACCGGGTTGTCATGGTTACCTCCCGTGCTGCCTTGCGCCTCCCTCCTTTTGACCAGGAACCTTCGCCACACCAATCTACTGGCGAGAGGTTTAATCAAGGGCTAGCTACGTCATGTCTTCTTCCTCTTGAATTCTTTTGCTAGAATTTTCAAGTTTGTCTTTCCAGTCCCCACTTATCTTCTCAACCATCCTTTTTTATTATAATGACTAATAACTCTGTGGATGAATTTTTTGTTTTCCTTGCAAGTCCGTTTGCAAGAAATAAATTTATATACCTATGAATAAAATTATTATAAATTGTACTCACTGTGTGCCTTCTCATCGGCTAAGAGCCTACGGTTAATGTATTTTGAAAATCAGCGCAACCTACAGATTAGTTAAATGTCAAACTATATTCTGTTCGACGGTGTATTGTTATTTTCTTCAAAACAATGTGTGATTAGTTTAGCTTTTTGTGATGTCTGAAATAATCAAGGTCTCGGTAAGTGTTATCAGCTAGCGTCAGCCTTCGGCGCGGCTGGTAACACTTAGACCTTTGATTATTCCAGATATCACAAAATCTCATTCCATAGGTGTTCAATATAGACACTGGTTAACATTTTATTGACCATGTTTAGAAATATGATTAAAATTTAATTTACAGTATTGCATGCTTCACGATTGACCAGGTGTGTACTTAAACTTGACTTTGCCCATGCTTGGAGAGAAAAATCTATAAATGTCTACAATCGCACCATTCACTATTTATGTGTTTGGGATGAGAGAAGATTGGAGATTGGAGAGAAGATTGAGGCGCGCGGGGATAAATAAATAGCGAATGGGTACGAGTCTGGAGTAGTTGGCCGAGAGGGATTGGCAAAATTATTCCCAATCCTCACTTCCGCTTAATATTTACTTCCGTTTTTCTCGGTTCCAGTCCTCCCTCCTACTCTTTTATTAACGCCACGGTTAGAATACCCGTTTGCCCGTTCACACTGCGCCGGATAATTGCACAGAAACCTATTCGATATGAGACGATCCACTTTCTAGATCGGTGCTGCCTCAATTGAAAGTGACAAGGTTGCTTGGATTAACGATGAAATTCTAGTTTTGATAAATATATAGACAAAAGTTTCCTTTGCTGTTTCAAAGGTTCATCCCTGGATGTCGAAAATTGGTTTGAACACGTTTTTGTTTTACTGTGTCATTTGGCTGCCAAGAGACCCGTGACACGGTTGTGGGTCACTACCATGGTACTCTTTGAAAATATAATGAAAGAATTTTTTTGGTGCCTTTATGCTTCTTATGACGTTGTATGGCGAAAAGAGGTCAAATGGTTTTCATCAAACTTTTGCTTAAAAGTTGGGTTTTATTGCTTGAAAACCGATTTTTCTAGCGGGATGATTACAGAATCAGAAACTTGCTTTAAAATATGTAAAAAACGTCCTAGAATCGAAAATGTTCAGCGCTTCTGAGGTGGGAGTGGTTTGTTAATCAAATATTGACTATTCCAATTCAAGGAGAAGTTGTTTTAAAATGGTTTAAGGCATCGAAGAGATCAACAATCACAGTAAACATCTCATTTTCTTCAGGTTTAATACAACATTACTTATCTTAAGGTGACATCAGAAACTAAACATTGTATCGTGCTACGTGTTGGGATCAAGTAGAAACAGTTCAACAAGCCGACCTATAAGTCACCCCTTGTAAGGCAATCCAAGATAGTCTTGGATTCTGGATTCCACGTCACGGATTCCGGATTACAGGTACTCGATTCCAGTCTTTGTCAGTGGCACTTGGATTCTCAATTGCTAGTGGGAGTCCGGATTCTTTGAGCTGTACTCCGGACTCCAAAACCCAAGATTCCGTATTTCAGATGCAAATTTTTCTCAGATTCCGGATTCCGTTACATGGGGCGTTTTAAGGGATGAACCATTAGGAAAGTAGAGGGGCTGGGTGGAATATTTGGGGGGTCTATGAAAGTTTTCTCTCTACTCCAGAGGTGGAAATCTATTTTTCCTCCTCGAACAGCTTTTTTAATCACGCTGCGTGTGGAGATTTTTTTCTTAATAATGCGTTTGCCTTCCCCCAACCTCCCATCCTTTTCTTCTAATGGTGTTATCCCTAAATTAAATTAGCTTCTTTAAATAACTAAGGGACGGCTAAAAGTCAATGGCCTAGAGAAAAGCAACCTAGAGGCAGTAAAAATTGGTCAGATTCTCCATAGAATGATGATAGCTTGAACGATTGTTGTAATTTCCAACGCCAAACCTCAGAACGTTTCTGTATACGTGTTCTGGAACTGATCTATTTGATTAAAAGCCCAACTTCTACAACTTAGCACAATTACAACAAAACATCATTAAGTTATTGGAGCGTCCAAAATCTTAATCTAATCTCTTCCACTGTTTGGATACTTTAAAGTTGACATCAATTAAAGCAGTTGGACCGCTAACGCAATAATACACGAAAACGTTTTTTATGATTGAAATGACTCGCAGTAATTAAGAAACAAGATTAAGAGTTAAACCTAGTTTAATGGAAGAACAAATAGTCTACGAGTGCAGAGACAGAGTCGGACTCAGCTCTACAAGGAAGTGGTGTTGGAAAAATAGAGAAGGAAAATAAATCTTGTTTTCGGCCCTTTTTCCTTTGTTTGCAGGCAAGGAAGGACTATCTGGCAACGCTTTTCCTAAAAAAGGGTTATTAAAATAAGGCAAAAGTCACTCTAATGATTCTCAGACTGTCCAATTCGCTAGCGGTCACTCGCTCCTTTCTCTGCGCAGGCTATTCAGTGTATCGTCCAAAACTTACTCTTAAAACTACGAGCATATTCATTCCCAAACGTGGAAGGTAAAATGTTTACTCTTTGTATGAAACGCTAATAATTTATCCATATAAGTCAAACTCGTCCCTGAAATCCTATTTTACTTGAATTTAAAAGCAGTTTTAATTAAGTGGCACAATGTGTGTCCCAATATATAACATAAGTACAAAATGAAGACTGCAGACTGCTCTCAGTGCAAAACATTGTTTTCACCATGCAAATGGGAACGTGACAACAATCGTCCCATTGACAAATGCATATGAAATAAATCATATATGAGAACTGCGGAAATGAAATCAAATGAAGAATGATCCTCGCAGTTGTGAACGCAATTTATGCAGTTGCATAAGAAGACTGAAAAAAATACCGGTGCGACGCTCTAACCAACTAAGCTATGAAGCCACTGATAGTCCCATTGTTTTCTAACCCTGAAAACAATGGTCTGCATTCAGTCTTGTTGAGTAGATCAAAGGCTTTCCACTGAAGGCAAACTCGTTTTGAAATACTGCAAATTATCATGATCAAAAACTCTGGGGAGGTGTTCCATCCACCCCTCCCCCTTATACCACGCTGGGGTATGAATTTGCGTGTACGTCCGAGGGTTAACCCTGTTAAATTAATTTGAATTATTTGTTTCAGTCATTTGCTTTAAAGTCGAAAGGAAAAAAACTGAAAAGGAATTATTAAGATTATGATGATGGTGATTATCATTATCATCAATATTACAATTAATACAATGCAATTTTCCTTTGCCAAATTACAATTTGCCGGTTAAGGTAGGTTACACGAGAAAAGGGGCAATCATCTGTACTACTATTCAGTCATTTTCGCGGGAGTAACGAAATACTTGTGAGCAACGTTAGGTTCTTTCCCCACGAAAATTGTTTGTCTTTTTCCTAAGTTAAAATTGATAAGTGTAGCCGTGGCTAATATAGAGCTTCACTGTATACAGTATGTCCTTTGATTTAGAACGTTTTTGGATGTTATTAATTAGAAAGATTTAGGGTTTCGTTTATACGGCAAACCGTGGATTTCTACCACGTGACTAAGTATTCCCTTTACTTCTCGAGCTTGCTCGTTTGCTATTAAATAAATCTACCAAAAATTGTTAGTTTCAAGTTAGTTTTATCCATAAGAATTACTTTGAACTGTTTTCATTTTATCTGCATATTTTCTATTTTGAGAAATTCTCAACTTGAATCTGTAGACGTTTGCCATTTGCCGTTAGCGTGACTATAGATCCCTCTATTTAATATCTTCTGACAAAACATGACTAAAATGAAAAGACGCTTTTTTACCAAACGCCCCACTGAGGACAGCTATTAAATAACGCTCTTCTTTCTTTAAGGAAATCCAGATATATACACTCTACTTCAGCAGTTGTGTTGACATCAAACTTTCAGCGCATCGCTGTAAAGAAAGTAACAATTGATACATTAATTAATCTTTCATTTCAAAACAAAATAAAGGTCAAAGCGTTAAATTTTAGGATGCCATGGATGATGATATGAAAAATAGCAAAATGAAAAACATTTAACATGTTAGACATATTTGTTCGTTTTGAAGCTATGAATTTCTCTACATATAGTGCTAGTCCTGTAGAAAAACGAAGGAAACTTATTCCCTATGTATATCTTTTATTCACACCTGACCCAAACTATTTAACAATTGAGAACATTAAGCAATGCCCAGTGTTCAATTGATTTTTGAAATGTGTTGGTAGTCCGTTAGGAATAGTATTTACTTGAGTGAATCCATAATAACTTAACACTTACCACCCAACCCATCCTTACTTTATACATATTTTTATTCTTTTTATTATCAAGTCTGTCATTTTCCTCTTATCTGAATTTGACAAGAATGGTTCTAGCTTTTCTTCTTAAGCCTTTTGTTACTAGAACAGCAATAAAAAAAAACACTCACGACTTGCTAAAAGACTCTTTTTCCCGCCCAATTCAATCCTAACGTCATCGCCCATCAGAACAAAAGGAGCCCAGTACTTTGGAGCAGAATAACTGTGGGAGTCTCGAAGACATTTCATGGCCCTCTGAAGAGCAACACTTGCACTTTCTCCACTTCCAAGTTGTTGGTAGAAAGATTTCATAAACATCATTGTGGCTTCGTCATCAATTGCCCAGAGTGTCGCCAGCACGGAACGAGCACCAGCAAACAAGAAAGCACGTGCCATACCGACCACACCCTCAGACGAGACCGGTCCTTGACCACTGTGGCAGCAACTTAGCACAACCAGTCTCGCTTTCAGCTTAACAGCTTGTATGTCAGACATTTTCATAATGCAGTCCTCCTCCTTAGGAGTGTCTGATTCCCATCGGGGGTCTGGGGCCAAAACAATTTCTCCGGTTTCCTTTCTTCCGTGGGCTGCGATGTGAACCAAAGACACTAACTTGATTCTCTGAAGTACAGCTTCTTTGGTTGCATCTTTACCTGTTAAGGGTTGACTCTTTAGAATTTCTCCAATCATCTCCACTTCCATTTTTGCGTACTTCAGTTGCTTATAAATGGGGCTCCCCAATTTATTTGTAACTTTCTTCAAGCATGGATCTCCAACAAGCAGGGCTCCACTTTTACTGTGGTATTCAATTGGAGAATCTGTGATGACTTTCAAACTTGTCAGTGAGGGAACAGTGCGGATCCTTAAAGTTTCACTCAGGGCTGCCCAAGGAGCTTTAGACAAAGCGCCGTCAGGAACTACAATTAGTTCATCACCATCAAGCAAGTCTTCAATGGGGCCAAGAACTGCACCATATAATGGCTGTAATTCACACCGATTTTTGCACCTAATACCGACGCCAGCCTCGTCGGTGGTCTCCTGTGATGGCTCCGATGTTTGATCATTGTCTCGAGTAGTTGAAGTTGGGTCGTCAGTCACCTGATCCATTGACCGATTTTCGCACCTAATACCGACGCCAGCCCTCATTTTTTTCAAAGCAGTGTCTAAAAGGAGAGCAAAAGAATCTTCGTGTGCACCTCCAAATTCAAACTCTGCTTTCCTAAAAATAGGGTTGCCCTCTTTTCGCAATACCCACATATTGACTGTTTTCTTTTGCAGGGCAAGAAAAACTGTTAAAACAGCTGTGTTCCTTGAAATATTTCTGACTTCTTCTTCAGATTCAATTGACCTGGGAGAAAGTGATGTAAGGCCATAAGTTACTTTTAAGGCATCGAGCAAAGCCTGTGCTCGTCCCCTCTCAGCAGCGTATAAAGCCTCATCATTCCTTTCAAGCATTACTAAAACCTGCCATAAATGAGTATAAGCATCTTCACAACTCTTACAGAAACTTATTTTCAATTGATCTTCCGCGATATAATTGGCTCTAATAGTGTCATAGATTTTTACACTGCATCTAAAATGATGTAAAGCTTCATTCAAAAAACCTAATTGTTTAAGAGATCGACCCAGGCTATTATGGGCGCATCCTTCTCCCTTCCTGTCACCGATTTCCTCGGCAATTCTCAGGTGTTCCTTAAAGTACTCTAGTGCCTCTAGATAGTCTTCGAGGAGATAATAAGCATCGCCAAGATGACAATAGGCAACTCCTTCTCCTCCCCTGTAACCGAATTTCTTGGCACTACTCAGGTATTGCTTGTAGCACCCTATTGCTCGTTGATGGTCCTTGAGGGAGCTATAAATATCGCCGAGATTACAATAGGCAATTCCTTCTTCTACCCTGTCACCGATTTCATTGGCAATGGTCAGGTGTTTCTTGTGGTACTCCATTGCCTTTGGGAAGTCGCTGACGGATTGATAAGCAAAGCCGAGATTATCATAGGCACGTCCTTCTCCTTTCCTGTCACCGACTTCCTGGGCAATACTCAGGCTTTTCTTGTAGTACTCTATTGTTTGTTGGAATTCGCTGAGGAATTTATAAGCACAGCCGAGATCACCATAGGCACGTCCTTCTCCTTCCCTGTCACCGATTTCCTGGGCAATACTCAGGCTTTTCTTGTGGTACTCTATTGCTTGTTGGAATTCGCTGAGGGATACATAAGCACAGCCGAGATTACCATAGGTACCTCCTTCTCCTTTCCTGTCACCGATTTCCTGGGCAATGCTCAGGCTTTTCTTCTGGTACTCTATTGCTTGTTGGAATTCGCTGAGGGATCCATAAGTACAGCCGAGATCACCATAGGCACGTCCTTCTTCGTGCCTGTCACCGATTTCCTGGGCAATGCTCAGGCTTTTCTTCTGGTACTCTATTGCTCGTTGGAATTCGCTGAGGGATTGATAAGCAATGCCGAGATTACCATAGGCTTTTACTTCACATGTTTTGTTACCAACTTCCTGGGCAATGCTGAGGTGTTGTTTGTGGTACTTTTTTGCTCGTTTGAATTTGCTGAGGGATTTATAAACAGTGCCGAGATTGCCATAGGCACATCCTTCTCTTTCCCTGTCACCGATTTCCTGGAAAATGCTCAGCGCTTGCTCGCAGCACTCTATTGCTCGTTGGAATTCGCTGAGGGAACTGTAAGCAACGCCGAGATTGTTATAGGCACATCCTTCTCTTTTCCTGTCACCGATTTCCTGGGAAATGCTCAGCGCTTGCTCGTTGCACTCTATTGCTCGTTGGAATTCACTGAGGGAGTAATAAGCACCGCCGAGATAGTCATAGGCTATTGCTTCACTTTCTCTGTCACTGGCTTCCTCAGCAATGCTCAGGTTCTGCTTGAAGCACTCTATTGCTTGATGGAAGTCACGGAGGGAGTAATAAGCTTTGCCTAGATTGTAGTAGGCATCTGCTTCTTCTTCTGTGTCTTTATTGATTTGCGCCATTGTCAGACGCTTTTTTTGTTCAGCTATTTCTTGTAGTATTCTTTCTGCCATTTCGAAATTGAAGTATTGAAAGTGGAACTGTTTCTTTGCAGTAAGGTTTCTTTAATGCAGCGTGGAGGTGGAGAAAAAACAAATATAATTCTCATTAATACATTTGAAGTCTTAGAATATGTCCCCATTTGACAGATAAGACATGATAGAACTTTCCACTCCTTTCTCCCTAGATTTAATCTAACTGAAGCATCTCCGGAATTATTCTGTCTGTTATAACACAATATTTCATTTAAAATCCCTTAAAACTTTTTTCTATAAATTAAGATGAAAATACTCAAAAAATCATCCTTGTGTACGCTACCTGATTATTCAGAATTCAAAGAAAGGTCACATTAAGTGCAAAAACTAATCATTTTTGAAACTGCTGGAATACTAAATGAAAATATAGTTGAGAGCTTCTGCCTGAGAGAGTGTGGTAGGATTGGAAGTAGGTGTCGGTCGTTTTTGGTCAAATTGGGTGCACGTAGTTACCATGGAGACATTCACCTAATGCCAACGTTTTAGCTCTATTGTCCCTGTTTTGGTCTGAGGTAAAGATCAGCTTTTTGGGACCAGGTTTTTAGCGTCAATTTTGAGGGTTTTGAATAATTCAACTTTAATATATGGATCGGAACATTTTCAGTTAAATCAAGAGTCATTTCTTTTTAGCTTTATCCCTAAGGTTTTTGTTTAGTTCTATGGCTCGTGCACGGATGGCAAGAGAAACTGCAAAAGGCCCAAAGTTAAGTCCAGTTAAGTTGAAACTATACAATTCTTACATATATGAGTACAAAGTGTAGACCTTTTTATCTAAACACCAAGAAGAAAATACCAAGGTTATACGGCTTTCTCACTCTGCCGCCGTGCTTTGATGATTCTATTATAGCCACAACATTCTCTTAAAACAGTTTGATTCAGTCCAAATAGCCTGTGTACAGGCGCCCTCCCGTCAGAAAAAAATCGCTTTCCTTAGAGGAAGGGGCGGCTGTAAACAGGTTAAGTCCAGAGAAATGAGGCTAGGTCTAATCCTCAAAAATGAGTCTGCTGCCCGGCGACAATAACATTACATGCAAATTTCAGAGAGACCACAAACTAGCAAACCACAACAAAGTTTAAATTGTTTGCCTTACGTAGAACAGAAATAAAAGCGATTTAATTCATAAACAGTAATTTTCCTGAAAACCTTTCTGACAGTACAACTTACATAGTGCCAATGCACATTGAAAAATTTAAAAGGCAGCAGTTTGAGAAAAGATGTCTTGACTAACTAAGTTCATGACCTCAATTTCTTATTGATCGATGCAAGACTTAGTTTCACAAATTTATGTACAAAGCAGGTCTTTCTTCGTTAGCTGTCGTCATATAAATGAAAATTTTTATAAATCTGTGACGTCTACAACATGAGAGATCCACATTTAACACAAATTATCCTGAATTATTATCCGGCGTTGCTTGTTTGAGCAGGGGTAGGTGTTGGGAGTTTGGAGGCGGGGGAGGGGTGGAAATGAAGTGGAAGAGAGTAGCGGAAAAGGGAGACAACGAAGGGAGAGAAACACAAATAGGTCAAAACAATATCCTAGTCGGACGTTTTGCTTAACATGGAACAAACATACTTTGCTTCGCGGTCGCAAACCGGTCTAAACTTATTATTAATTATTTCTAAGTAAAAAAGAGAGGGAAAAAAACTACAGCAGGAGAACAAAATAAACCTTGCAGAAATATCTGATTAGACAAATTCCAAGTTAAAGGAGATTATTTCTTACCTGGACGATTTGATCTCTGTGAAGAAATTGTCAACGGAGTTTTGAAGTGTTCTCCAGTGGTTGGCTTTAAATGCAGAGGACTATCAAATATATAGGGTGGCTGATAGAAACAAAAAAATCCACAAGACAACAACAACAACGACAAAAATAGGAGAGAATAAACCCAAAACAGAAACACATAGACAAAACGGAAACCCAAAACAGAAAAACACTACTAGAAAACAGAAACACAAATCCCAAAACGGAAATAAGCATCCCCAACAGGAAACACACTAAAAAAAATACAAAATTAAACCGCAAAACTGAAACAGAATCCAAAAATACAAACCATAGCCACAAAAGACGAAAACAAAAACAAGGAGATAGTGTAAAGCTATATTTTCTCATGTTTCATCGTCTTTTTTGGAATAGGAGTTTTGCGTTTTTTTTAGGGAGAGCATGATCGCAGGCTATTATTATCTAGGAACATCAAACTGTAAATCAACCTCGTTCCCGGCCTATCTCTTCTCCCCGTCGCCTTTCGCTCCAGGTGACCGGAATGTGACCGGTATTTTCGGTCTCCGGTGAATTGTCAAAACCACGTGGGGTACGTTTCTGGATCGTCCCGGTACCTTTTCTAGTCCAAAGCCGAAAACCTAACGTGAGACCTAACTACTAACATATGGCGTTAAAATACAGAGATTGACCGTCACTGAACAACAGTTGCTCGAGGTTTTATGCGCCCGACATTAGGGAGGCGACGGTAGCGAAAACGTCATTTAAAAAGCTATTTGGCATACTTTTAAAATTTGTGAACATGCGAACTCTAAAGTTCAAAAGCCGCCTTCACAATTGCGTTTTTCACTGCCGTCAATCATAATTACGATCACAAGCAACGAACCTTGAAACACAAAAACACACAAAACGGATCGAAATCCACCAATCACAAATCACAACCCTTGAACTTTTGAACCCGTTAAAGTAAAGATTGTTTCCTTAAAGGTCCGTTAAGATGATTGACAGCAGCGAAAAACGCAATCGTCAGTTGGCTTTTGAACCTCAAAATTCGCATCTTTGTGAAAAGCGCAGTAACTGGCCAAGTTGGTCAAATGTAGGCGATTTTTCGGTGGAAATGAATTTTTAGGGAACACTGACATCAAAGTGCAAATAGAGAAAAAGAAATTTGTCTTGGGGTGCCTATGTCCTCTCATACCCTAGAGACGGCGAATAAATTTATAAAAACGTGTAATGCACATGCAGAGTTATTATTTTGTTTATTCAACCTATATCAAGAAAACATGCCAATGAGGCCCTGTTTATATAGAGAAAAATTTTCCCTAGGTCACCCTACCAGCCCGAGTCTAGTTAAGCAAGTGTTTATATGAGAAACAGTTGACCCCTTTGCGCAAGCCTAGAACTGAAAACAGCGCTCGCGCATGGTCTGATTCACTCGCCTTAACGGAGTTGACCCGGCTGTGCAATCCAAGTGTTTTCTTAGGGAAAAGTTAGCTTAGCTAGAGACGTGACCTTACCATCGAAAAAGGGCTCTAGCCGAGCCCACCATTTGTTTTTTAGTGTAATTAAACGCCAAGTTTCGGTAAGGAAATGTAGCAAATGTTGGCTCGCCCAGGGTAGCTCGGGTAGGCGAGTGACTCTTCAACCTAGGGCGACTTTTCTTCATATAAGGGGGCGACCTTGCAGTTCTTGGAAGACCTCACGTTATTGGTTGGGAAAACAATATGAACTAACAAAGTTTGGTGAGCATTCGGAAGTCAGCTAAGCGTGGTCATTGCACGCGTGCTGAACAAGAATGCTGTATAATGACAGACTAGAAACAATAGACAACTCCCAAAGCACAAACTCAGCCAAAACGCTAAAAATCTTCAATGTTTACTCAAGTTTGGGCTTATAGAAGATAATGTCACAGTTTTTCAATGACCATGAAATTCAGAGTCCGGGTAGTTAGTTAATCAATTGTGGCCCTGAAAAAATTTGAAGGAAAAAAAACTACGAATTTTTAAGAAAATGCTTTTTTCGTGAGAAGGACTCTTAAACGCTGACAAACGTCAACAAATAGCGAAAACTATAATTTCTATATGTTTGCTTTGCTCGAAATCGCGCGCATTTACAAGGCCCTAAAGCGTTTTGCTGACTTGCAAGGACCCATCTGTT